ATAAACCTGGAAATCTTTATTTTTAAATTTAAAAGATGTGAATGACCTGTGATGGTGTATTTTGGTTTGACGACACTTTTTTGACGACTGATTTTTCCAAATCTTTAAAAATTTCTTTTTCATTATTTACAGCACCAGACCAAGTTGTTACTACAAATCAATGTAAGTGATTTAGTGATAGATTTCGATAGCATTATATCCCAATATATAATTATCAAAATGCAATTACTATAAGAATATAAAGCTTATACCCCGTTCACACCAAATTAAACTTGTTTAGCTAAACTGTGTTTAATAAAACTTTGTTAACTAAACAAGTTTACTTGAATTCATCGTTCACACTCGTTTGCACAATCAAAACAAGTTTATTTCCCGGCGTACTTTGCGCGAGAAGACACTGGCTCGCTTGCACGCGATAATCATCCCTTTCCCTCCCCGGTGTGGAGTAATGTTTACACGTCAAAATGGTTTCCAGAGCAGATAGAAGGTTTCTTCCAGTTTTGATTTTGTTATTCTTGAAAAATGCCCAAAAACGAGTGGAAATTCGTAAACAACATGCTTTCAAACAAAGAAGAGATTATTTTAGGAGACGACGACGTGCATTTTTGTTGTTTTTTCTTAACAATATTACGTATTTCATACATCGAGTGCCTGTGCGGAGAGTTTGGTCCAAACAACGAAGTGGATCGTTTTGGGATACCATTAACAACGACTGGGGTCACACAGAATGGAGAGAAAACTTAAGAATGTCAAGAGACTCGTTTGAAAGGCTGTGTGCTGAGCTGGCTCCTCATATTGAACGTCGGGATACACATTTTCGTCGTGCTATACCAGCAAGATAACGTGTTGCAATTGCTTTGTATCGACTCGCTGACACGATATCGTACCGCTCAATTTCCAATCTATTTGGGATTGGGAAGTCAATGGCGTGTATAATTACCATGCAAGTGTGTAAGTGCATCATGGAAGTAATGTTCAAGAGGTATGTCCGACTTCCATCAGTCGACGAAATAGAAGACGAGATTGCTGGGTTTTACGACTTTGCAGGATTTCCCCAGGTCGTTGGGGTAGTCGATGGCTGTCATGTGCCCATAATGGCTCCCCACGAGAATAAAGAGGACTATATAAACAGAAAAAAGTTTTACTCGATTATTGTGCAAGGCCTGGTCGACAGTGATTACTTTTTCATGGATGTCTGCATTGGTTGGCCAGGAAAGGTCCATGATGCAAGAGTTTTTAAGAACTCTTTTTTGTATGATGTATGTTCTGCCAGATCTTTCCTCCCAGTTGCCCTCAGCAAAAGAATTAATGGAGTAGTTGTACCTCCACTCATCATTGCTGATTCTGCATATGGTCTCAAGAATTGACTGATGCGGCCATATTATGATCGAGGCAACCTGACACCATCTGAAGTTAAGTTCAACAATGCCCTGAGCAAGACAAGGGTGGTGGTAGAGAATGCTTTTGGTCGAATGAAGGGTCGCTTTAGGTGCCTAGCCAAACGTCTCGACTTGTCTGTAACCAATTCTTGTGTCACGATTAGTGCATGCTGTGTGCTCCACAATTTTCGTGAAACAATGAAAGAGGAGTTCCATTACGACTGGTTGACAGGAGTCCAAATCCATGCTGACATCCTACAATGTGATAGAAATGCAAGACAAGATCGGCAATCTGAAGTTATCAGAAATGCGATACAAGACTTCATTGCCTAGAATAACTGAGCTAGAGTACAAACATTAAAGACATGCAACATAAATTGTACTAAATAGTGCTAAATTCTATTGTTTTAAACTCTACTCTTTTTTGGAAGTGGTATCCTCAAATTCAGCCACATTTTCTTTCTTATGCTAGTAGTATAGGGGATGGGGGTTCCAGCGCAACGACCACCAGAGGATTACCCGTCTAAAGTGTATTCCTCGATTCGTACCGCGATTACCCGCATCCCGTGTTTATGTAGTTAAATATGTTAGTCTATATATGGAGTGCGAAGATTGTAAGAGAATTTTTAAAAAAGAAGTGGNTTTCAAGCACTTTACACAGAAATCATAAACAAACTCTTTACAATCTTCGCACTCCATATATAGACTAACATATTTAACTATATAAACACGGGATGCGGGTAATCGCGGTACGAATCGAGGAATACACTTTAGACGGGTAATCCTCTGGTGGTCGTTGCGCTGGAACCCCCATCCCCTATACTACTTATGCTTATTCTCTATGCAAAATGGACATAAGATTTTACAGCATATAGTTCTTTCCTTATTCATGTCCAATTACTATCGTTCAAGGGAATAACAGTCAATGTCATTGGCATTAATCAAGTATCAAATGATACCAAATATTATTTACTCTAAATGCTCAATACAAGCACTACGTGTATAAACATTAGAGTTTTGGGATGGAAATGCTATTTAGAAATATTCAAAAAGAGTTAAGTAGTTCAATGAGTGTGTCAAGCCACATTAGAGTTTCTTTTCATGACTCCCTTTTTACTATTAAAATTCAAAATTTCAACCCTTAAACAGAAATTAAGACAATGTCACATGATTAATGCAAATGACATATATTAACCCCATATGCCCTGGGGGTGGGGGAAAATCTCCTGAAAAGTGGGTAGGGGGCTCCACGGACGGTTTTGAAAATGACCCTAAAAGGTACACACAAATTAACTGAGATGCTGTTTTCAGACCTTAAAAGGTACGACCACATTTAAAATGACGTCTCCAACCATTATATTCTTGTATGACGTTTAATATTTTTCAAAAGGAACAAATCTGACCCTAAAAGGTACAGAGTCAGCCGGGAGTTAGCCGGTGACCCTAAAAGGTACACGAGGTCTCATTTTCGACCCTAAAAGGTCGGTCGAGCTCCCTACCCACTTTTCAAGAAAAGTCCCCCCCCCCCCCCCCCCCCCCCCCCCCCGGGCCTATATGCTCAAAAACAAGTTAGCCCTTTAAAACTCTAGCAAGCTTTAAAAAAAAATCTTTATCCTCCTGCCTTTTTCTTTCCTCCCTCTTTTTATCTTTCCTCTCTCTCTCCCTTTCCATCTCAAAAAACACTTTATCAGCATTTTGCTGATATTCGATGAATCGGCCAAGGGATTCATCAATCTTTAACATGACATCCTGTGTGGATGTCCTTTTCTTCTTCTTGGCCTTGTTCTCATCAGATGGAGTCTCTATCATGAAAGGACAACTGAAAACGTGCAATATTAATTGTTTACATTTGAAATAAAGGGTTTTTACAAGCAAAATATTTTATTAAACTCCCATCTAATCACAGTTAAAATTACGGTACACGTTTCTGCGAATAAGAGACTCCACAGATAATAAGTATTTATAATAGTCTAATGTTATCAAAAGAAGAAATGTCCATGTATTGTACACAACCTTTCCTGTGGCTATTAAGCTTATTGCAAAACAACATGAGCTTTTAAGCACTTAGTGACGACAACATTATTTACAACAATCGACACATTCAAACTTTATATTTAAGTTTTAAGCAAACAGTCTCGATGTAATTTACTATCATTTTACAAAACAATTGTGGTCATTTCAAACTTTTTAATATTATTAAAAACTTCAGACATTACTTGAACCTAGCTTGCAGTTCTGAGCAGCTGTACTCTCGAAGGCATATTAAATTTTTTGAAAGCATTCTCGAAAGCATTCTCGTAAAATAGCTTTTAAAAGAACTCAAAACCAAGCACGAAAAAACCTACATAATCTACCTATTCCGTTAGCTATTTATACACTTTCTTTGAGTATTTGAATGCTATTTTAGCGAAGTTTTTTAGTTTGCATGCCTCGTATGAAAACAAATATGGCGCCGATCTATGTCACATGACATAATGTCATGTGTGCTTGTCATGTGATAAGTAATATAAAAAGAAAAGAAGAAAGGTATACAGTACAAACACTCACCACTGACTCGCTTTGCACCCCTCTTGAGCTCTGGATATTCTGCGTCAGATTGTTCTGTGCCTTCTTCATCTGCTCCTTCAGCTTCACTATCGCCGTGATCGTCTTCAGCAACTTCTTTAACAACTTTAGTTGAATTAAGCACTGTCTAGTTCCTCGAAGTAAGGAGGTTTTTTGGGGGTTGCTGTGCCAGTTTTCCCCTCCTGGTCTTTGTATGCTCTGTACGCGGACACCAGTGTGTGTATTCGGTTCTTGCAAGCCTCAAACTCCCTATCTTCATATCCTGACGCTTTTATATAGTTACTTATCTCTAACCATATCGGCTTTTTCCTTGTACATTCTTTCAGCCTTTCCTGAATGTTCTCCTCCCCCCACTTCTCCAACAACAAAATCGTCTCTTCCTTTTCCCACGTCCTTCCTCTCTTCCTCTCGTTCGTCGCTATCTTTGTTAGACACCTTTTAAACTACCTCAGTGAGGTAGTTTAGTTAAACGCGATTTAACCTTGTTTAATGCATACGCGCGCGCAATGTGAACGAGTCAAAATTAAACCTGTTTTATTAAACAATTTTTAAACATGTTTAAGGTTCTGGTGTGAACGGGGTAATAGTGTTCCATCTCAAGCAAGCTATTTGAATAATCGATTTTTGCACTACACCAAAATCCGTGGCATAATTACTCTTCTCACTTAAGCCAATCCAATAAAACGTCCGTCCGTTTGTTCGTTCGTTCGTTCGAGACATTATTTATTCGTCCATTCATTATTGCTTCGTTTTGATCAGAATTTCGATTTTGAATTATTTCGTTTTGCTTTTTAGCGAGGATTGATACAGAGATGAGGCTCACGTCAGTAGATTTTGACGATGTGAAAGATCTAACTTCAGATGCAGGAAAGGAGTTTAAGACGAATTTTGAGGAAAATGTAAATATAACCGAAAGTGTATAATAGTTACAGTCAATGTCATTAACGTTTTCCACCGAAAAAAGACATTTACACATTTACACATTTAGACTAAAAGAAATATCACGTGTTCCTTATGTACTTTGCCTCGTGTGCGTCAGCCTGAACTTTAAATGTAAAATTCAACTCGTGAATCGAAAATCCAGAATGCCCGAACATTTAGTGAGGATTTAAGATGGAGAATTGTATTTCAGCGTTTGTTTCATGCCAGAACGTTCGAGGAAACACGTGATATTTCTTTTAGTCTAAATGTGTAAATGTGTAAATGTGTAAATGTCTTTTTTCGGTGGACAACGTTAATGACATTGACTGTACATGAAGGGCCCGTTTACAAGGGAAGTTATAAACCCTGCTTTCGCCCTTTGTTTCTAGGAAACAAGGAGATGTCTGCAGTGTGACCATAAAGCTGCAATTTTTTCTCGCACTGGCAACGCGATTTCACATTTTTGTTGCAGCGAAAAATTGCAACGTATACCATATCAAATAGGTTTAAAATAAACTTAAAAGGATAAAAATCAGCATTAAATCCTGATTGGCTAGTCCGAATAGGATTGTTGCATTGCAAGCAAACATGGGAGATAGACGCTGCAATTTTCAGTTTTCGCTATTTTTAGGCGTGCAATTCCAAAAATGTTGCAGAGAAACGTTCAAACTTTTTGATTTCTGCAACGATTTTTGCGTTGCGAGACATCGTTGCCGTCAAAGTCTCGGGGCATGATACACGCTGAAATTGTGTCTCGCGCTGGCAATACAACGGAAAAATTAAGGTTGCATTGCCAGCGTGTGAAAAAATAGCAGCGTGTACTGACAGCTTAAGAACCGATATACAGCTATTTCAAAAAAGGTTGACGAAGGTTTTGTTGGATGTTGGATGTTGTTTGTTTCAAAGCAAGCCCGAACTGCACTATGGTTGATGTCAATTCATTAATTAAAAAGGTCACATCAATATGGCAATTTTCTAAACTTTGTCTACACGTTTTTCTGGAATGCTTTTCTTGGTGATATTTACATACATGAATATGATATAATTTTAATATGATATAACATTTTCACCTGAGTAAGCAGCATGCAACAAGCAGCATGCAACTTGCAACATGCAA